ACTTCAACTCCCAGAATTCCTCAGCCAGGTTTGCTGGCTGAGGAATTCTGGGAGTTGAAGTCCACAAGTCTTAAAGTTGCCAAGGTTGGACACCCCTGGTTTAAACCAAATCAGATGTGAAATAATGGTGACTTGTTATGCCTCAAATCCTGCATACACACACAGACATACACACACGCATTCCCCAATGTTGGGCAAAAGCCAAATGACGCAGTTTGTATTTCGCAAATCATATTAAGCAGCCAGGTTTTCATAATCCATCTTAAAATGGTTTCAGGCTGCTGAGAATTTTGGATAGGTGTTTTGGAAAAGGTCCAGAATCTACTTCCTTCTTTTTCCAGTTCTTCTGATAAAAATGTGAAAAACATCAATTTTATTATATCTTTTTTTCTTGCAGCATCCAATCAATAGGTAAAGTATAAATAAGGAGGAAAAGAAAGTATCAGTGTGGGAATATGGAGAGATGGAACTAAGGTTGGCTCCATCTGGGTATCAAGAGAGAATTTCATGAGTTCGCAGAGAGAGTAAACAACATTTTCACTTTATTCTGACAGCTTGAGGCCTGTCTCAATACAGGTAATTCCTCAACTTACAACCACAATTGAGCCCCACATTTCTGCTGTTAAGTGAGACATTTGCTATGTGAATTTTGCCCCATTTTACGACCTTTCTTGCCACAGTTGTTAAATGAATCGCCGCAGTTTATAAGTTATTAACTTGGTTGTTAAGTGAATCTGGTTTCCCCATTGACTTGGCTCGTCAGAAGGTCACAAAAGGGGAACATGTGACCCCGGGACAAAGCAACGGTCATAAAGTAAGAACCATTTGCTGAGCATCTGATTTTTGATCACGTGATTATGGGGATGCGACAAAGGTTGTTAACAGTGAAAAATGGTCGTGAGTCACTTTTTTCAGTGCTGTTGTAACTTTGAACAGTGAGTAAGTGAACTGTTGTAAGTCGAGGAGTACCTGTACATTGCTTTAGCCTGATTACTAAATTAGGGTTAATGCAACAGACTGAACCAAACGAGTAGCCTCCAGCCCCCTAATCATTCTTGTTGTTCTTCTCTGCACTCTTTCCAGAGTTTCAACATCATTTTTATATTGTGGTGACCAGAACTAGTTGCAGTATTCCAAGCATGGTCTTACTAAGGCTTTACAAAGTAAAGTAGTAATAGAACTTCACGTGTTCTTGATTCTACCCATCCATTCATGTAGCTTAGAATTACAGTTCAACCTGGTTGAAAGCCACCTAGGGTTGCCTCTTGGCAGGATGGCAGCATATACATTAAATACAAATTATTAAATTAAATTAAGATTCGTGGAACTGAAAGGGACTTGTTTAGACTCTCAAGGCCAACTCCCTCTGAGCCACGCCCTAATCCGGTCTGCTTCGACAAACAGGCATGAAGGAGGTTGTGTGAAACCTGCCCACTTACTGAGGCTTCCCAACTGTTTAATGATGGCAGCCAGAGTGCTGTTGGTCACACACTCCAACTCGCTGGTCACCCCATCAGGAAGGGCCCCCCGGCAAAGATGGCGGGGCTCGATATTGCGCTTCACCAACGGCATCTTGGCAAGGAGTCAGTGGACCAAGCCTGCGATAAAGAGAAGAGAGAAGGTCTCAGTTTCTGAAATGTCTTTTCCAAGGTGCCTTCACTAAGAACTGAAATTTAATAAGTGGGGCTCTTGGGGCTCTCTTGAGCTTGGTTGTTTTCTTGCAGACGTTTCATGACCCAACTAGGTCACATCATCAGTGCTAGAAGAGAGAGGGGTTATAGGAAAGGAGGGAAGGAGGAGGAAGAGGAGGAGAACAACTGTGGAGCCCATGGTGCTCTCTAAGCTTGGTTATTTTCTTGCTGACGTTTCAATACCCAACTAGATGACATCATCAATTTAATAAGTAAGGGGGAAAAGAAAGTACCCCAAATTAACATGAGAATATGAAGAGATGCATTCACGTTTGGTTACATTTGGGTACCAAGAAGGATTTTCATGAGTTTGCAGAGACAATAAATAAGTAATATTTTCATTCTGTGTGACAGCTCAGATCCCTTTCTTGAAGGCTGTCTCCAATTTTGGAATCCGGTACATTATTTTAGCTGGATTACTGGATTACCCCATTTCCTGGGTTATTTCAATAGGCTGAACCATGAATAAGCCAAATGAGTTGAGTGCATGCAACTTAAACTCTTACATACCATGTTCAAAACAAACCAAAGTCAGAATGTTGGCTGTTGCATCTACTGGTACCAGGTTTGTGAATAGCTCTCATAAAGCTTCGCCAGGGAGATGGAAACTGACCCCAAAATCAAGGAATAGATTTGGTAGCTGAGATGGGAACTAAATCAGGGGTTTCTCCACTTTAGAATGTTAAGATGTGAGGACTTCCAACTCCCAGAATTCTGGGGATTGAAGTCCTCATATCTTAAAGTTGCTGGGATTGAAAGGGATTCATCATTTTATATTACCAGCCTTCTTTTATTATGCAGAAATAACAGAAACAAACAGCCAAGAATCCGAGAGCAGAGTTTGTGCCCTGGGGCATAAAAGCAATCTCAGAGGCAAATGGGCTTCAAAGGAACCTTTACTCTCTTTCTGTGTGGCTTGATCAGCTCCCAATCCTTTTCTCAGCATGTTCTCAACTTGTGGACTTCAACTCCCAGAATCCCTCAGCCAGCAGACCAGGGGGCTCCAACCTGGGCTACTTTAAGCTTTGCTGGCTGAGGAATTCTGGGAGTTGAAGTCCACGAGTCTTAAAGTGGCCAAGGTTGGAAAGTCCTGCTCAAGAGAATATTGTCCATCCTCATAAGGGAAGCCCAGTTGCTTTGAGTGAGGAGCAGCAAATAAATCAGACACCCACATGACCCATCATCCTTGACCGTCAGCACAAACTTCCTAGCAGGGGAACTCAAGCATCAAGTGGTGTCCAATTTCTTGGTGGCTCTAAAACCAGGGGGTCAAACTCAAGGCCCATAGGCTGAATCAGGCCCATGGGGTGCTTCGATTTGGCCCGTGGGGCCATCCTGGAAACAGTGAAGGACCAGCCCATAGTGCCTCTGCCGGCGAAAACGGAGCCCAGGTGCCCCCGACGAAGGTGATGTAGAGCTTGCCACGCCCACCCTGGCCACACCCACCCACCCTGAGGTCAAACACAACCCTGATGCAGCCCTCGATGAAATCCAGTTTGACAGCCCTGCTCTAAAAGATGCTGGAGACTCCAATGTTGAGACAGCATTACAGATAGATTTTGACTTACAACAAAAACTGAGGCCAGAATGTCTGTTGCTAAATGTTGCTAGGAGAGTCGTGTCTGATTTGATGCTCTCTGTGCCATGGTTGTTCAGTGAATCACTGTAGCTGTACTAAGTTCCATTGCTAGTCAAAGAGGGGAATTGATGGAGCAGGAACAAATCTGGTTTTCCTACCCTTATTCTCAGGCTCTTTAACAGGACATACATTCAATTTCCATCTACTAAGATTGTCGGCCAAGCAGGTAGAAAGATAGCCAGAACACAAGTCTTAAAGTAGCCAAGGTTGGAGACCCCTGTTCTAGATCCCTTATGAAGGCTCTTCTCATATCCTACCAACTGACTGTCTTCTGGATTCCACAGATGGGTTACCAGACCTCACAGGGACAGGAAATATGCGAGAGGCTGCATTGAACGGCCCACTTGAAAGGAAGCGAAACAGCTGCCAATTAACAGGCCAGCACAAGCCCTCTTCTGCTCTCACGGGGTCAACTTGCTTGTCCCTGTCCAAAATAGAAGAAAAGAAAGGGGATGCACCAGAAACGACCAACAAGATGAACTCTGAGCTCCATCCTGTCCCAACGGAACTCTGCACAAAGACCCCCGAGAAGTTTGACCCCTCGAGATTTCATGACAACATGGAAAGACTGTTTCCTTCTTCCCCCTTCTATTCATGGAGCAGCTGCAGAAGGAAATTAGCTTTTGGGGAGGGGCTGACGGAGCTGAATGCAGAGCAACCCAGCTGGGCCTTGTTGGAATGCTTCTCTTTTTCAACCTTCTCCAGAAAGCTGGGTTTAGGCACGCCGAAAATCAGAATGTCAGCCTCCACCAAGTTTTCTTGACATCTTTTGCTGCTGGCTTCCTGCCATAGAGATGGGGGAGGGCTAATTTGTTATTGGGGGTGGGAAGGGTGCTAGAGAGTGAAGACATTTTCTGGGTGAACTAAAGAGGAGGGGATGCTTTCCTGCTTATTTGTGCATCTGCATAGACTTAACTCTACTAAGCCAAGGCCAACCGTCTTGGCATACCAGATGAGTGAGAAACCACCTGAAGGTAACAACAGCAATAGCACTTAGACTCGTATACCACTTTATAGTGCTTTACAGCCCTCTCAAAGCGGTTTACAGAGTCGGCATATTGCCCCCAACAATTTGGGTGTGTGTATGTATATGTTATGTATATATGGTATTCAGCTTTGTTCGGGTATTTTCCCACGTCATTGTAGTTGTGCTTTTAAAGTTGTAGCAATGTTTCGGCAGAATCTCATCTGCCATCATCAGGCTTCTGTATAGTGTTCGTCTGTGAGTCAGACTTTTACAGTTGTTTCAGTTTTACTTCAGTTTTCAGTTTCAGCCATAGAGATTGAAAAAAGCCCTGAAAGCATGAATAGAAGAGATGATTCCACCAGACTGTCAATTATTTGGAAGCCTGCACTCACAAACAAAAAAATCTCCACACCACAAGCCAGGCAAACACCTGGGCACAAACAGATCCCCCCTGATACCTCCAGCTCAAACACACACCAACCAGGCACCCAGATGAAACCTAGCTTCCTAATAAATGATAGCCGTCCGTTTACCCGGAGCCAAGCCGCACTAAACACCTCCAATACAGGAAACACAATGTTGCCAGCCAACCAAGACACAAAAAAAGCCACAAAACAGACAGAAGATATTAGAAACACATGCCCACACAAAGGTTTGCCATCATGGCTCTATTCTATTCTGGACAAATGGCTGTCCAAACTCTTCTCAAAAACCTCCCATGATGGAACATTCATTACCTGCTGCGTGTAAAAGGTGAGGCCCCCAGGTCAGGACCTTCCTGTCTCCTGCAACTACTCTTCAGAAGGGAGGCAGCCTTTGAAGGTAGATCATATCTAAGAGTTACTGAGAGTTCTTGTCTCCATAAATCGGTCTTACTCCTTGCACAAGTTACTTTACTTCATGCCAGGAGAGCGAATTCCAGGTGGGGGAGGCACATCCAGGGATCGATTCTGAAAAACTGCAGTTATTGAAAAGAGTTTGGCCTGATTGTGTTGAGCTAATAACCTTCCACCATTTTTTTTTTTGGAAGAACCTTTGATTGCAAACATCAATCCAGCGGAATGCTAATCCATGGCTTTCTGCGGACGAACATCTAAGTTTAATAGTTTCCTATTTAACAGGGAATCTTCACATCTGGACCCTTAGCAGCAGCAGAGACCTGAACAGTTTCCTCTTTGCAAAGCAGTTCATCTTCAGGTTTACCTTGAAGGTCTCATTAGCAAGTCGGCATTGAAAATTGCACATTACGGAAGGGCTGATTAATCAACACTTGAAGCTGCTAAATTAAATGCAGACATTGGGATGACGAGAGGAAGAACCGGGGAAGGTAACGTGGGGTCAACCTCAATTGAATCCACATCACTCCCATAGCAGAGCATAAACAAGGATGCTACAAGAGAATTGTCCAGTGATTTTTCAATTAGTATTTGTCCTACGCAGCATTCTGACTAATGCGTTAAACAAAGGAAGGAGAGGGAGAAGGTTGGAGGTAGAGAGAAGAGAGATTTCAGTACTCAGACAGAGTTGTTTGTTCCTTTGACCCAGGAAGCATAGAAAACAACATCTCAAGGTAGCAAAATAAGGAAGAATCTGCAAATCAGACATGAAGGAGTAAGGTTCCAAATAGCAGATGCAGGAGATGAATAAATAGGCTGTGCTCGAGGGAAGAGATTTAAGCCCAGCCCACCCTGAGTGTCTTTCTTATCTCCCGCTCATTTCCCTTGACTGCTAGTTGGTCGGATTCTTGTAAGAAGCTTAAGCTTGCAATAAATCTTTATATTCATTTGAACTGCCAGAATCTCCTGATTTCCCCAGTGCTTGACAGCAGAGCTCATATATTTTGGGCATGACGGTATGCCAAGTGCCCTTTAGTTTAGAATTTTCCCTGCCCAGGTTGCAAATACTGCACGTACGTTCTTCGTGCTCTCTGAGCTTGAGGGTTTGCTAGGAGATATTTTATGACCTTTTACCATCACAGAACATCATCAGTGCTAGTAAGTGTTCAGTTTGTTCCCGGATAACGTACAGTAGTTTGACGGGCTGGTTTTGGTGGGAGTGTGGCTTCCTCCTTGGTAAGCCCTTGATTAGAGTATTGTTTTCTGGTTGACTATTTGTCTGGTGTGAATCCCTGCTTGCCTGGATGTTGGCTGCTGGAGGGGATCTCTTCTATTCTTTTTGTTTCCTTTCTGGGTTTTATTATCTTTTTTGAATGCTGCGCAAATGCGGTTTATCCCTATGTGTCTGCTGACGGCTAATTTGTCTGAATGCCAAACTT